AATGACAGTTCCCACCGAGCTGGGGCCTCGTGAGAATGAACAAGGCTATGGGTGCAAGTGCCCAGCCTGGGGCTGGCACACAGGGGACCCCAGATGGACGGACGGATAGGTGGATGGCGCCCCTTTCCTTCCATCCCACTTCCTGAAATCTGGACACTTCCCAGGGCCATGCCCCTGCCAGGAGCTAAGGCTGACCTGAAGCCCTGACCTTGACCCTGATCAGCAGGCGACTCCACCTTCAGGCCATAGCTCCCTCCCTTGCTCACATTGTACACCTCAGAGAGGTTCCCTCAGTATCTCATTGAGCGAGTGAATACATGGATGAATAAATGTGCCCGCCCTCCCCTCTGTGTCTGCTCACCAGCCAGCTTGGCCTGATCTCGGTCCCACCTTCCTGGGCTGGTTTGGCTGGTCCTGCGGGCTCTGTCGGTCCTAGACGCCTCTTCACCCTGGCTCGTCCAGTCTTGACCTCAGAGCCAACCCCGGCCCAGGGCTAGGGGATGACCCATGGGAAGGGAGTGAGCAGGAGAGGCGGGGGTTCCTTAGGCGCACTGGGAGCGGCCGGTTCCATGGGAGACAGGCAGACCCACCCCCTCACCCGTGGCTCCCTTTGAAGGGGGTCTCTGGGGAAAGCTGGAGGGGGTGAATGAGAGGTGGGGCCACAGGCACCCACCCCTCCGCCCCAGCTTTCTGGCTCCTGACTCCGCTCCACCTCTCCACCTGGGAGCAGGGCTGAGCCCCTCGCCTTAAGGAGCCCACCAGACACATGGGTGGACAGAGGCCACTGGAGCAGACAAACGGGTCCCTGGGCTGGTGGGGCTGACTCCGTGAATAGCCACCTGCTCTGCCCCACGGTGCCCCAACCCCCACCAGCTTCTGGCAGGATGGCATGGCTGGTGGGTCGCTTCCACAGTACTGACACCTGCTCTCAAGTGTACCCTTCTGGGCTCTCACTTATCATGGGGCCCCTTTCAATACCAAAGGCCTTTCTGCTCACCCCCGCCCCAACTTCAGAAACACCCACAGGTGCTGGTCCTACAATGCCAAACAGCATCATCAAAACCGAGTTGGCAAAATTTGTGGAAATCCTCAAAATTTGCAGAAATATCTTGGCCAGAGTATTGCTGTTTGTCCTTCTAAAGCTCAGCTATACCCCTTTCGAATTAATAAACTCTCGCCCTTTGAGATAATTACTGGGAGCCCCATGAATCTAGCTTTTCATATTTTTGACAGTATTTTAAAGGTCTAACTGCATCCCTTAAAAATAACCAGTCGAGTGGCTCAGTTAAGAGCGTGAGCTCTGAGCAACAGGGTCGCCGGTTCGATTCCCACATGGGCCAGTGAGCTGTGCCTTCCACAACTAGATTGAAGACAATGACTTGAGCTGAGCTGCAGCTGAGCTGCTGGTGGGCGGCTGGATGGCTCAGTTGGTTAGAGCGCGTGTTCTTAACAACAAGATTGCCAGCTCGACTCCTGCATGGGATGGTGGGCTGTGCCCCCTGCAACTAGGTTGAAAAACAGCAACTGGACTTGGAGCTGAGCTGCGCCCTCCACAACCAAGATTGAAGGACAACAACTTGACTTGGAGGTAAATGGGTCCTGGAAAAAACACATTGTTCCCCAATAAAGTTAAAAAAAAAAAAGAATCAACTCTGCCATTGTAGCATGAAAGCAATGTGTAACCGATGACCATGGCTGTTGCCCAATTAAAAAAAAATAAATAACCACACTTCAGTAGAGCAGCCTTTTCACAGTTCTCTCTGGGAGACAGCAAACACCACACGTTGCCATCCTGAGATTTTGTTTATTGGAAAAGGCACCTCCCAGAGACTCTTCAACTACATTGGGTGTGCTCCAGGAGACGAAAACCGCAAACTCTACACATTGCCACCTGGAGATTTTGTTTATTGGAAAAGACACCTCCCAGAGACTCTTCAACCTCATTGGAAAGGTCCCTATCGAGTGCTATTAACAGCCCCTGCGCCCCCAGGCTCCAAGGAATAGATTCTTGGATTCAAGTTCAACCTGAACAAAGCTCCACAACCCAAAGAGCTTGCACACCAACCCATGACCTAGAACTCAAGGGCTCAGGGCTTGCAGCAGACAGCACCTGAAGCACACAGCTTTCCCGAGAGGGCCGGGCAGGCCTGGACACCCTCCTCCCTTGCTTCTTCTCACTTTCTCTTCTCCATCTCTTTCACCGAAGGACAAGGCCCTCGGCCACGTTTCCCAGCCCCTCTCTGACTGTTGGATTTGTTACCAGACACCTTGGCCGACACCATGACAGCAGTGACCCCCTAATCCTCACTGTAACCAAATTTTCACATATTCCTAATGCTACTGCTAATTTTACCTGGTTTCCCCTGGATGTTACACACTGAGACTCCTGCACCTCAAGCCCCCCATACCCAGCTTTTTCTTAAATTTCCTCACATCTGGCAGTGACAGTAATCTCCCAGATGCTTTTCAAAACAAGACTATGCTGCAACCACCTCATTCACACCCTTGTCTATATAATACCTGTCTATAGAACAGCACAAGCCCAAATCCCACATGCAGGACCTTTTCAAGGTGGACCCTCCTAGAATGTTCAGAGAATGTAACTGATCCCTGGTCGTTTGATCTATTTAGCTGGTTGCCTCCGGGTTTGGGCTCCTGGGTTAGGACCTTGATACAAACTGGATTCGTGGCTCTGCTGTTCATTTTGTTTTGTGTCATTGTTTTTCAACTTTCTACCTGTTGTCTATCAAACCCCTGTAGAAAAGACGCACCCAATAGGATGATGCTGGCCCAACACATCGAGATGCTCTCCAATGCTTGTAACCTCAACAAGATAGGAACTTTGGGAAATGCCCGAGAGTTCCATCCTCGACCTTCCTTGTTATTCACATATGGCCTTCAGTGGCCTTCAGTTGCTGTGCATATGCTCACTCCGATGTGGGACATGACAGCCAGGCAAGGTCCTTCCTGGCATCCCGGGACAATGCTGCTAAATATGGAAAAACATGATGCTTTTAAGGAAACATCTTGATCAAAAGGGGGAAATGTAAAAAGGAATAAAGGAAACCTTATTCAAAATGGAGTTGGGGAGCCATGAAGGCAGAACTCTCATGCACATACCACTCGTTGCAGCTTGCATGGCCCAGCAGGAATAGGGAAGACTTCCCCTTGGCCTGGCAACAGTAGGCTGCCCCCACCTGCAGCCAATGAGAAGCCACCTCCACTTCAAACTCTCATGTTCCTCCAAGGAACTTTTGTTCAGAACCTTTATCCTCCTCGAAATCTGGAAGGGTGGAGCGGCAGTGATGGAGACGGAACTAGATGCCCTGATGACGTGGACAAGGAACCCTGTGACGTGTGGGGCGTGTTCTACACCGACTGGGTGCCGTCCCTCCCACCATGCCTCCCACTGGTTGTGGTGAAGGGTGTGCAGACTTTGCACAGAAAACACTCACTACAGCATGATTTCAGCACTACCTGTGAGCAACCTAAATTCCCACTGGTACACAGGTGCTCATCCATGAGGGCACAGCCAAACTGGGATCCTTCTGGAAGGATGTGGAAGCAATGGGTTCACAGCTGCCTGGGGAGGCCTTCACACTGTTGGTGCATCTTCCTCACAGCTAGAAACATTGGCTTAAGATCCATTGGTCTGCTCTGCCAGACACCCCCAAAAGGGGAGAGTGAACAGGAGCCCAAATGGAGACACCCCTCGCCTACTTGGGGCTCTGTAGAGACTGCCCGGAGGAGACCACCACATAGGGAGGCTGCGGAGGCCATGCTGGGCGATGGAGTAACGTTGGCTGAGCCCGGATCCCGGGCACACGCTGAGCCCTGATCCTGGAGGTTCCTGGGGGAACTCAGGTAAGGGTGGAGGCCTGTCAGCGCACAGGCACCCTAGACAGAGCCTGCCCAGACTCAGGCTGGGCCTCAATCCTCCCACCCTCAGAAGACAGCTGCAACTTTGCAGAAAGGTTCAGCCTGAGTCACTCTGGGGTGTTCAGGCAGAAATTCTGTTGGGTTGTCGGAAAAGTCATGACGTATTTTTGCAACGAAAAACAGAAAAATACGTCATGACTTTTCCGACAACCCAACAGGAGNGTGGAACCACGCTTTTGGGGGCTGAGCTGGGCTGGGGTGGGTGGGGCGGGGCCGGAAAGGTGGGGAGGAGGGTGGGAGGATCGCTCTGCTGCCAGGCGCTGCCTGGATTCCCTCTGCACCCTCGAGAGAGATGAACACTATCCAGGCCACCGCTGCAGGGTTCCGGTGGAACAATCTTGTGGTGAGCCGGCCTTGGCCCGGAAGTTCATTGGCCAGCCCGAGGGTCCCGCGGGCTCCTGACAGCCAGAGGGGAAGGCGAGAGCTCTGTCCCAGGCTGAAGTACTCTGCCACGTCTCAGGGAGCGGCCTCCAGGTACCCCAACCTACCTGAGCATTGGGACCCCCAGGGACCCAAGAATCAGCATTATTTAAAGGGCCCCCACCCCAGGTGAGCCCCATCCCTGGCCAGGTTTGGGAAGCATAGGTCTGCCCAGCAGTGGTCATCCTGGATACCAGTGGCCCAGGGATCACAGGCCATCCTTCCAGGGAGGCCAGACAGGTCATGCAACATTGTGCCTGGGTCACACAAGACCTCAGGCCTTCTCACCTGACCAGTGCCCCCAGCTCCAGTGGCAATGCCCATGTGGGGGAGTTGCCTTTGGCCCCAAATTGTGGCACTTGTCAGGAGCCTGTGGTGGAAATTCCATCTTGAGAGCTTCATTCCAAGACCAGGGGAGCTCAAGAATCAGAATGCCTTAGGGGAGCCCGGGCAGGGAGTCCTCAGCAGGCCTGGGTTGGGTGCCCCAGGGGGTCTGCAGGGACTGTCCGCACTCTGGGCCGGAGGCAGCACTCTTCAGAACCCCAAGGAGTGGCTGGTTGAGTGCGCAGCCCAGACTGCTGGCCAGAACCTGGCTGTCCTCTCTCCCTGGGGCCCAATCAGGTGTGAGCTCCTCCCTAGGGAGGCTAGCAGGAAGCCAGACCCCACACCAGGAGCAGTCAGCCTCAGGTAAGTGACCGACGTCGCCCTCCCCCAAGCTGGCTGCCAGGCCAGCACAGGCCTCAGGATGCTGGCTGGCAGGGGGAGCAGAGGTGGGCAGATGTGGGCATCCATCCCCAGCAGCCCCTGACCTCCTCACCCAGCAGGAGAGGCTTGGGAAACCCTCGTTACCCTGCTTGTGTGAGTCTTTTGTCCTGGGCCAGGTGGCATCCTTGGCCAGTGCTGGGAGGAGCCCCGGGACAGGTCCTCCCTCCCTCCCGTCCCAACAGGTGATGGAGTAGAGCCCTGCCCGGCTGCTGGTGGGCTCTGGGATCACTGAGAGCAGGGGTCCAGTGGGAGCTGGGCATGCTGCAGTGCCAGGGAGCTTCTTACACCTGCCTCCTGCATCCGTCTTCCACCCTGACCTAGTCCCATCCTAATACTGACAACACTGCCCCCAACCCTGGGGACCGTGCTGCCCACCCCGCCCCCACAGAGAGGGTTCTGCCTGGCGGGTCTGCCCTTGGAACCCAGCAGGAAGCGCACAGGAGGCAGTCAACGAATGCTGGGCCAGGCCCCCTAGTGGAAGTGTGTGGCACTACACAATAAGGGGAGCCGGTGGAAATCAAACA